AGTCACGCCGCTGCCCGTCGGTGCAGTACTTCGTGCGGATCTTCCCGGTGGTGGAGGAGCACGTGCAGAAGTGCATGGGACAGGAGCTCTACAAGCTCTTCCGCGTGAGTGTTCCCGCCCCGCCCCGTCCCGCCTGCACAGAGAGCAGTGGCCCCAACAGAACCGAGCCTCCTGCGCCCCGTCCCTCCCCCGGGGCACCCCTCACACGAACTGGGCCTAGTGGCCAGCGGCAGGGAAGGACGCGGGCGTGGGCTGCACCTGCCTCTCTCCGCTCCCCTTTCCTGTCCTCAGAGCAACGCAGAGGACTTGCACATGAAAATAGACAGCGTTCAGGTGGACATCTTGGCAACCAACAAAGTCAATGTGTCCAGAGGTGCGTGGGGAGCGAGGGACCCTGGATGGAGCACGGGTGCAGCCAGCACCGGACTCAGGCTCGCCTCCTGCTTCCAGAACTGTACCTGCGCGGCCAGGTCTACAGCAACAGGAGCTGTTACTTCTGCCCTCGGGATCGGCAGCGGCTGCCTGACTGCACTCACTTCCTGGAGGATGTGGACGGAAAGGAGTGACAGGGCCCCTGAGGCAGCCAGGAGGGCCAAGGCGGAGAGGCGGGCGAGGGAGCCTGGGTCCCCTCAGGGCGACTCCACTTGGCTCCGGGTGCGGGGGCGGGGGAGAGCTGCTGGCTGGGAAGAGTTCAATAAACAGCCTTGCTGTCGATCTGTTCTCTGTGTGTGTGGATGCGGAGGGAGATTCAATGAGAGCAGGGCCCTTGGTGAGCTAATCCCGTTACCTCTGAACTGTCTCCTACTTCTCTTTCCCCCTCACAGGCTCCAGACACACTCGCTGTGTGTTTCTTAACGAGCTCTTGCCTTGGGACCTCTGTGCTGGCTTTTCTGATGAACAGGGAGAGAGGTTCTGTTCTCAGACCCTCTCCGCCCAGATCTCTAGCTGCATGACCAACGCCCTCATCTCTTTTCAACTCACACAAAATCACCTATTCCTTTTTGTTTAATTGACTTGAGAGAAACCCTGATTTGTTGTTCCATTTACTTATGCATTCATTGGTTGATTCTTGTATGTGCCCTGACCTGGGATCAAACCCTCAAGCATGGCATACCGGGACAATGCTCTAACCAACCGAGCTACCCAGCCAGGGCTGAGGGCTACTCTTTCTTAAGTTGCAACCCACACTATACCACTCCCTACACTATGGCCCCTGCCCCTTAGCATGCCATTTTTTTTCCATAGTATTTATTTATTTATTCATTCATTCATTCATTCATTATCTCTCCCCCTGAATATAAGCTCCACTAGGACAAGGATAAATAAGATAAACATAGATATAGAGATTAGATATATAGATATAAGTATTTTTTTAAATATGGGGTTGTTTGCTTTTAAAATATATTTTTATTGATTTTTTTACAGAGAGGAAGGGAGAGGGAGAGATAGAAACATCCATGATAAGAGATAATTCTGATTGGCTGCCTCCTGCACACCCCTACTGGGGATCAAGTCCAAAACCCTAGCATATGCTCTGACTGGGAATTGAACCATGACCTCCTGGTTCATGGGTCACACTCAACCACTGAACCACACCAGCTGGGCTAGATATATGTATTTATATATTTTTTATATTTTTATTGATTTCAGAAAGGGAGAGGGAGAGAGAAATAGAACCATCAATGATGACAGAATCATTGATCAGCTGCCTCTTGCACTCCCCCTATTGGGGATCTAGTCTGAAACCTGGGCATGTGCCCTTGGCTAGAATCGAACCTGGGACCCTTCAGACCCCAGGCCAACACTCTATCCGCTGAGCCAAACTGGCTAGGCTGTATTTATATTTTTCTTTCTTTACTGATGTATCCCAAACATTGAGATCAATGCCAGGTATGCATGAATGAATAATGGAGATAATTCTAAAGGAATTTTCAAGTCAGGGGAAATGAAGTCAGATGGCAGTAATTCTCCAGGCTGCCACAAGAGGGCATCACCGGCCTGATACTGTCAATCTAAGGCGGCTCAGCCTTTGGCTAAACTGATTTTGAGCCCCAGTTTTCCTATGTTTGGGCTGGAGGAAAGGAAGGTTACAAAATATATATTCACATAAAGCTAAATGGATTTCCTATTTTAAAGAAGTGTCCTGTCCTTTGGTTTCAAGTCATTCTGCACTGTTTTTAGTCTTTTTTTTTTTGATACTCAATCTTGCTAATATTAGTGATGAAAAAAATCTTAATGTGACTTACAAGAAATCTACACAGCCCTGACCGGTTTGGCTCAGTGGATAGAGTGTCGGCCTGCGGACTCAAGGGTCCCGGCTTCGATTCCAGTTAGGGGCATGTACCTTGGTTGTGGGCACATACCCAGTAGGGAGTGTGCAGGAGGCAGCTGATGTTTCTAACTCTCTATCCCTCTCCCTTCCTCTCGGTAAAAAATCAATAAAATACGCTGCAAGGATACAGCCACCGCACACTCCTGGTTCGTAGCTATCCACACCAACATTATGGCTCTCCTCCCACAGGTGTTGGCTGAACTCAATGCCATGCTTGGTGCAACCAGTACAGCAGGAGGCAGCAAGGAGGTCAAGCATATTGCCTGGCTGGCAGAACAGGTAGGCTGGGCGACAGGGCAGGGTTGCCATTAATAGCCAGGATGGTTCCCCCATTTCATATGTATCATGCAGTCATGTCTGGACATCCGGATTGCAGAGCTTTGTTTATCCTCCCTACCATTTAGCTATTTGTTGCTAATTATCACCACCACCAGAAGAACTGACTGTCATGAGAATCATCATCACAACAAACTAAAAAGAGGCTCTTATATATCACCTCTCTTCTTAATGACAGAAAATACTTTTCATGATTTTAGAACAGGATAAGCAAACTGTTTCTGTAAAGGGCTAGATAGTGTCACAACTACTTGCCATTGTAGCAATAAAACAGTCATAGACAGTATGAAAATGAATAGGTGTGGCTGTGTTTCCATAAAACTTTATTTACAAAAACAAGTAGTGGGCTGCATTTGGCCCACAGGTCATAGTTTCCCAACCCCTATTCTAGTCTGTTGACAGAGTTTTAGGAACAGCAGGCTTAGTCCCCTGCTCTGGGAAAAGTATAAAATATACAAAGTATTTTACAAGCCATTAGACAGATGTCTTCCCCAACTGAAAAATGAAGAGAAACAAGAGAACCTAAGTGGCTATTGACCGAAGGGAAAGGAAGAACGTAATCCAAGTTTGACTTAAGGGAGACTAAAAGTTCTATGCGATGTATGGTACAGACTTCTTTTGGGTCCTTCACTGTCAGCTGGGCCAGAAGGACTTGAAAAAAGAAGACTGGACTTGGGGTTCAAAGAAGAGTATTCAAGTGCTAGTTCTGATTTTCACTGGTTTTAGATCTTTTTAAAGTGCCTTCATCTCTTTAAATCCTGGTTCCTTCATGTGTGTGCAAGGGGGCAGGCAGTTAGTATCAGCCCAGGGTGGTTTTGTTCTTTGATTTTTGTTTTGTGTTTTAAGTACAGTTTCCCAGGTCGCCTCCCCCACCCCCCACCCCTTCCACCTCAAAAGAGTTTTGAGCCCTAACCGGTTTGGCTCTGGATAGAGTCAGCCTGCGGACTCAAGGGTCCCAGGTTCGATTCCGGTCAAGGGCATGTACCTTGGTTGCAGACACATCCCCAGTAGGGAGTGTGCAGGAGGCAGCTGATGTTTCTAACTCTCTATCCCTCTCCCTTCCTCTCGGTAAAAAATCAATAAAATATTTTAAATATATATTTTTTTTTTAAAAAAAGAAAGAAATCTACACAAATAAACACTTTTTTTTTTTTTTGCTAAACACAATTCTGGGTAATAAAGCTTATCTAAGGGGATTGATTCTTTTAATAACAATGTCTTCTTGAATTTTCTTTCCTATGAAAGCCTTTTTCAGAATGTTTTCCTCATGTAGATACAGGGACTTGAGTGTTTATCTTTTATTTTTTTATTTATTTATTTTTTTAATATATTTTATTGATTTTTTACAGAGAAGAAGGGAGAGGGATAGAGAGTTAGAAACATCGATGAGAGAGATGGATCAGCTGCCTCCTGCACACACCCAGTGGGGATGTGCTCGCAACCACGGTACATGCCCTTGACCGGAATCGAACCTGGGACCCTTGAGTCCGCAGGCCGACGCTCTATCCACTGAGCCAAACCGGTTCGGCAGTGTTTATCTTTTAAAGATGTTTTCTGTAAACCATATAACCTTCAATATCTACTGCCCACATGCAGAAACTGATATTCTCAATAAACATGGCGCATGTCCATCACTGATGGGAGGCTGGTTGGTTGAAGGCAGGAGGAGGGGGAGGGGAGGAAATAAGATGGTTTCCCAGAAGGCTATGAGGCTCTCCTGTTTTTAGTCTTGAAATGGCTTTTCTTTTGTAGAAAAATGGTTAAAATTTTTGGAACCCAGAAATATTTTGGAAATTTTAATAATTGGAAAATCCAAAATCTGGAAACCACTTCTCTAAGGTAACCATAGTTTATTTTTTTTTATATCTTTTTTTTTTACCGTTAGGGTTAGGGTTAGGGTTAGGGTTAGGGT